ATTTACATAAATAAATAAATCCAAATAAACCGTAAGCTTTGATACCAGTTGCTAGAAAAAATCGATGATTTTCCACAAGTAAATCAATCAATGGAAATAAAAACTAATGCGAAAAAATTAAATCAATAACCACACAAGAATTTTACGTGGTTCCCTCAATGTGAGGTACATCCACAGGATTAAAATTCGATTCCACTATCAACCAATAGTTTCCAAATGATTATAAAGGAGGCACAAATGGTCTCACAAAGTACCCTTAGGTGAATTTCAAGTAATTATAAAATAATTAAGAGGCAAAATCTCACCAAATATATGAACAAATATTTTCGAAACAGAATTGTAGAAAATCTAAAATAATAACCCAAATTAGCTTTGACTCAGAGACAGCAACAACATCAATGAATCAAGCCCACAACATTAACCAAACACCAAATTGAAAATCACACATTATCGTCACCGAGGATGAATGAAAATCATTATAGCTACCGCCAATATATAAATATATTATTGATTTTTGAGCTTTTTATCAAACCCTAGTTGCCACCAAATAGATTATTAAATACTCATTGGACCTCCAAAAGTTAAATATAATATATTAGTTATTTATTATAACCAACACCAAACCAAATTAAATTATTTTAATAAACGAATTGGGTCTCATACTCCACTAAAAAGGTATACCCAACATGCACCAGCCCCCAACACAAGAGGCAGAGTCATGATCATAGCATAGCATAGCACAGTCAACTTCACCGTTTGAAAACGGAGCAATAGTCACGCCTCTATAAATCGAGTTCTGCTCAAATATATAGAAGAAAAGCACCTTTCCATCCCACCACTATCTCCGGTGGTATCTCTCTCATAGGATTGCTAATCCCTTCTTTAGATATTCTTTCGATTTCTTTTGATATTCTTTTGATAGTCTCATAATAAAACACTTAATCCCATAACAATTCTTGAAAAACAAACATGGTTTTATAAATCCGAGTTTACTGCTAATCCAATCTCATCTTCTAACTATGCAGACAAACAGGTCATAAGCTTTTGCATTCTCTTTCCAGGCAACTTCCGTTCAGTTGGACATTAACATTTAAAGTTATCCACGTAGGCTCTACCAATGTAGGAACTCTTTTATGACAATTTTAAGCTAAAGGCATTTTGTAATGCTCCAACTTTATGGCCAAATTAAAACTGTATAATAATAAATATGAATTAAAAAGAAAAAGTAAAAAAAAAAGAAAAAGAAAAAGAAAAAAAAGAAAAAACAAAAGCAAAAGCAAAAGCAATACAAAACGAAACATAGTGGTCAGAGCACTTGAGGATGATCAACGACTTAAATAGTTAAATGTTTAAATTTATGAAAAATGCTATGGATTCTAAATAAATTATCAAATTTTTTATTAAATTTCTCGCACACAATCACGTGTGTGGGTCTCACACCCATGTGCGAGGTTTGATAGAAAATTTGATAATTTATTTAGAGTTCCTAGCATAACTCTTAAATTTAGTTAAAAATTTTAACAAATTTTAAAATTTGTTTAAGTTTGATTCGTTAAATTTTTGAATTAATATAAAATGAGTTTTTATCAAATCGAACTCGAGTAGTTTAATATTTTTATATAATTTAAGGCTTATTATCAAACCGAGCTGAACGAATAATTGAATGTTTAAGTTTGATTTGAAAATTTTAACAAATTTCAAAATGAGTTCAACATTGACTTATTTACCTAACGAATCAAGTTCAAATGAGTCAATCATGCGTCAAACTTGAACTAATTGGTTCATTTATCACCCCTATATTAATGTTCATTTTATTTTTTATATATATGTATATATATAATTTCAAATGTCCTTCTTGAGATGGATCATTAGGAAATAAAAGGGAAAACAAAAGCAAAAAAGGCATCAATCTTTTGCTTAGAATTTATTTATTTATTATTTTTAATGACCAGTTTTCAAGATTAGATAATGGAAAATGGCTCTCTAGCCCATGTATTGAATGAGGGAACAGTTCAATATCTTAATTTGTGTCATCTCGACATTTTTTATAAATCAAAAATTTATATTTATCTACCCACACTAGAAAAAATTAAGATTTTAGAGATTAAAATTTAAGGATAAAATTAATTTTTAGGGACTAAATAATTTTGTTGCGAAAAGTCTTATCATTATATTTTTAGTGACAAAAATTGGACATTAGTGATAAATTATTATCCTTTTGGGACCAAATTTTTTGTCAAAAAATAAACCATTTTTAGACCAAATTATTTTTTTCCCTAAAAGTCTATTTATTAATAATACTTTCAAAATTTTGTCGCTAAAAGCCTTTTTTTTTTTACTTTTCGGGACGACTTTTTAGCGATTATCCTCATAACGATGGAAATTGATCCCTAAATACCTTTTGTAACAAAATTTTCACTTTTAGAGACTAAAATATTTGTTCTCTAAAACTCTTATATCTTATAGTGCCATTAACTCTTATATGAATACAATTTGAACTATTAATTTATAAAAAATATTGATATGACAAATATCATCAGATCTCAAAGTGGACACAAACGATTGGCTCTAGATCATTACAGCAAAAAGGATATATTGCAAATTTTTTTTTTATAATTTTTTTTGTGGTGTTTATCAAAATGCCATTATAGATTAATTAAACACAATGTTTTGAAAACGTTGTCTCTAATCTGAATTCAACAGCGCCATATTAGGTCAATCTATTGACACCGTTCAAAATTCTGTCTCTTTCAAAATGTCTCTCACTTTCTCTGTCTCTTCAACAACTCGGTCTCTCTCTTTGGTGATATTCAGTCTCTCTCTCTCTTCTAAAAGCCTCAATTTAAAGCTCTAGTTCTCACTGTCACTTTCACTCTCATTCTCAAACCAACTCACTATGTCTCGCTCAATTTCAAACACACACACACATACACACACACTCTCGCTCGATTTCTAACAGTACTCTCTCGCTCGATTTCAGATCTGTCGATGATTTGAAGGCCACATTCTCTCTTTCTCTATCTCTCTCTCTCTCTCTCGCTCCCTCGATTGCAGATTTTAAAGTTTGGTTCTCCAGATTTGCACTTCTCTTCCAATTTTGGTTCTTATCTCTTTTGATTTTATGAGTTTCAATTCGTTTAGCTTCTTTTTATTTATTTATTTTTTTTGAAGAGTGTGAGAGGGGTTAACTTGAGCCCACTAATTAATTGGGCCCAATCGAAGCCCAATTGGAAAGCCCAGAAATTGGTGAGCTTGGATAAATTATTGCCAAATAGGCCAAGTGAATTTTATTGAGCGGGCCCACAAGAAAGTCAACAAAATGGGCCAAGGAGGATACATTTCAAACATATCTCTCTAAAGAAACAAGCCCATTCGAGGAGATCCAGATCATACGGGTGTCCGAGGAGTTGGGATGACAATTTGAACTCAGCCCGATGGGGACCCGACGCCCTAACCACGAATTGAGCAATTTTTCGCCGAAAAATACTCCCGATGGGCCGGGGTTGGTATTCAAAAATAAATCCCCGACGATATTCGGGCCGGGAATGGTGATACATATTTCATCCCAAGACCCGGCCTGGCCCCGGCCTCGAACCCGTCCCCGGCCCGTTCCCACTCCGCCTCTCTCTTCTCTCTCTCTCACTTACCTACCCACTACATATACTCATCTCTCTCTCCCTCTCTCTCTCACATCTCAGATCTAATATTATCAACCCACCTCTTCTCTCTTATCTCAGATCGATCTCTCTCTCGCTCTCTCTCTCTCTCTCTCTCTCTCTCTCATCTCAATCAATCCCTTTCTCTGCCTCTCTCTGTCTTTTGTCTCTTCGTTACCATGGTCGCACTTCGCCGCTTGATACTGCTGGTGTAACCAGAGTCTTCATTTTCTCTCTTAAGCTCGTTGCACCAGAGCTTTGTTCGCTCCGCTGCTCGTCAAACCAAAGCTTCTCAACTCCACCGATCGAGACCGCTCTCTCTCCCTGCATGTGTGTATGTGTGATGATGATGATGACTCATCAGATCTGGAAATGTGTGTGTGTGTGGGGGGGGTGTGTCTCTGTTGCATCACTCTGTGTATGTATGTGAGATGATGATGACGATGACTCAGTTTTTTCACTTTGTCACCGTCGAGAATTTTTCGAGGTCGGGGACCCGACCTCATTAGGGATAGGGGGCGAGGGTGGGTGATGGGTTCCATGCGGGGGATCGGGGGCATAGACGAGGAATTCCATACTTTTAGGGACGGGGAGGGCAATCCTCGGCCCCGTCTCGGCCTATTGTCATTCCTACCGAGGAGGTTAACTGTTACTTTCAGAAGAGATGAAGCCCTCAGAGGAGATCCACTCTCTGAGGTATTTTCTTAGTCTTGAAAGGGTTCGGAACCATGAATCTAGAGACCTATTTGAGCTCAGACTCAAAAAGGTTCAAATCCATGCAACCTAGAGATCTGAAGTGCTTAGCTTCGAATGGATTGACGCAATCTAGAAGCCGCTATATTAATGAGTCGTAGAACACTTGTGGGCTCGGAGCTTTCCAGGATCTACGCACCAAAACTATGGCCATAATAGAAAAAAGGATCCGATCTCGAGGACGGTGAGTGGAGATAAATTCACTCTTCAGTTAAACTAGCCTATACCGAGGTTGAGGTGACACGATCTAGGGGGTCCCTGAGGCTCGGCAATATTTGCGGCGGGGCGTTCTCTTCAACTACCCCTGACCCTTTGGCTGTAGGGCATCCTCTAGGACTACCCCTGACCTTTTGGGATAATTAGAGATCATTGGTTAGGTGTGGCTAAAAAGAAGGGTTCGCCAAGAGGTTAATATCTTTTTCGGGATTTTTCTCATCCTCAGAGAGGTCAGCTCCTCAGACAAGGTAGTTAGAGGGAATATTCCCCATGTGCCTTGCACATGGACTCCATCCTACATCATGATGTGCCTATAAATAGCACCCACCCTTAGCTTTACAAGGGATGGATTTTGGAGAGACAACTCTTGGAAAAGTACTAATTTCCCTTCTCCATTATCTATCTTGAGAGTGAAAGTGAGAGATCTATGGGAGAACCTTGTCATTATTCTCTCTCTAACTACTTCGCCTTTTTTATCACCCAATCTCTTATCTCTATCATCTCTTTGCTATTTTGTTCCTAGTTGGGACCATTGAAGAATTTAAGCCTCTCATCACTTTTAGAGAATTCGGATTTTCCTACGATCTTTGAAGATCTTCAAATTTTCCGACAGCATTCTTGAACCTTCTCATACAAAGAGCGTATACATTCGAACTCGTATCTTGCATCTCAATCTGTTGCTTCTCTGTTTTTTTTTTTTTTTTAAGAGTGTATGCATTTGTTTTGTATGAACACAGATCTTTGATTTTTTCAAATCTATTGGAGATCTATATATATATATATATGTATGTGTTTTCTCTGATATTGATGTTCATTGTTTTGGTTTGTCAATTTCTATGCCCTTTCTCTGATAGAAATCTATATATATATATATATATACATATTTGTGTGTGTGTGTGCATGTTTTAGCAATCTCTGATAGAAATCTTTCTGTTGAACGTCTGATTATCATCTCCTTGGTGTATTGGTTGGTGGTTATAAAGAGAAGAAGAGGTAAATGATACTGCTTTTATTTTCATTCAACTTGTATTTGTTCTTGTTAAGGTGTTTGCTGGTTTGCAACTAAGGTGTTTGTTGTTATGCTTCTTAGGCAGGCTGAGCTTACTTTATTAAGAACTGCTGGTCTTTATATTTTTGCTGTCAAGGATGTTGCTTATAAGGGCTTTCTAGTTGTAGTATTGCCTAAAAAAAAATTAACATATACATATATATATATATATATGTGAAACTCTTTTTCATTCATCGTGCATGTGTTCCTGTTAAGGTGTTTGTTGTTATGCTTCTAGTTGTACTATTGCCTTTCGCTGATTTAAAAAAAAAATGGAAACTACATGGGCTTAATTACTAAGTTGTTATGTCTTTCAATATTATTTATGCATCCTAAAGATTTATTCACCCTATATTGGCACTGTAATGTTTGTATAAAGCACAAAGCTTTATCACAACTTCACCAGGAGGTCTCCGAAATTGAAAAACAGTTAGTTTGCACACCAAAAAAATAAAATAAAAAATAGCTTCATATTTATTTATTTTTTGATCGGAGCAAATAGCTTCATATGAAACCTTATAATGTGGATCAAGTGATTAAGTATTCAAATACCAGTTCAAACATAATAGATCTTCAAAAGAACAACGAACTTAAGCAGAACAAAGACGAGTAATTTGATTGAACCTGATTATTGAAAAGGTGATCCAAATGATTTCTCTGAATTTTTCATCTGACACCACATGACATTCCTACTAAGTACTTGCCATTGTAATGTGCTATCAATTACAATCATGGAATTTTTTGCTTTGTGATCAATCAGGATAATTTGCTAATCAGCACTGCAATCTCCTTCATGACTCTGCTTGAAGTGCCACAAATTGAGAAACCAGTGAAAATTCCACTTGTTGGTACAGTTCATATCACTCTCTCAAACATAGTTCTTTATCAGCCTAAGGTCTCTAATTCCACTGTCAAATCTGGGTATAACTATTGTTGCTTTTGGGGCCAAGACATATTTGAACATGAATTGGGGCTCACTATGGTATTTCATTGTTTTTGTTCTCGTCGTTATTGTCGTCGTCTACTAGATCAACAATCTCAGCAGAGGAAACCTTTTTCTCTAATATACAATCTTTGATTACGAGACTAATTTTTATGTTTTGTCTATTCACAGTAGATATCTGGCTAAATATCGCTTAACAAGATATATATATATATATATATATGATAGTCTTTCTTGGTAATATAGGTACAGTTTCCCATTTTCTTGTAATATGTGTATCATTTGTATATGTATGTATGTAAATATAGGTACAATTTCTCATTCCTAAATCACTACTTTGACAAAAATCTTTTACTGTGTTGTAGCATTCTGATCAGTGCTTTTTTGGATATATTCCATGTCTAATCTAGTCAATGATGGTTGATTGTTTCAGGCATTTGAGGTCCACGAGAAGTTTGAAGCCAACAAGCATGTGGACTTAAGAGTACATATATTTTGGATATATAAAAATTGTGATTAGCATGATGCATGGTTGGCGAACGGATATGTAAATTTGAGCCATTTGTGTTCGTTATTAAATTCTCAAGCTGCCTTCTTTAGTTAAATTCTTTGGCTTAAATCATTGATTATACTCCCATGTTGAACTGTTTGTTTATTTCCAAGATGTCTACATTTTATGGGTTGAGTGAAGTTAGAAATGGCAACGGGCTGGGGTGGGGCCAATAATCACATTCCCCGTCCCTGATCCCCGATGGTGAAAAAATTTTCCCGTTCCCATCCCCGTCCCCAATCCTCGACGGGGGTCACCGTCCCCGCCTTGTCCCCTAATGGGGATTGGGTTCCCCGACCCCAAAAATTTTCGGGCCAAAAATAAAATAAAATCAATGAATGAATATCCAAATCCAAAACATAGATCCAAATGAAGACCTATTCAACAATTTGTGAGATCCAAATCCAAATCAATGAATGAAAACCTATTCAAACAAAGCACAGATCCAAATACAAACACAATTTGTGAGATACATAACATCACAACAAGATCATCATCTTTCATATCTGACACTATCCAACAAATCTAACACTATTCAAATCTAAAAATTTGTGAGCTGAAATGTCTAAAAAAATAATAATCTAACATTATTTAGATCTAACATTATTCAAATCTAATACTATTTAACAAATTTGTGAGCTGAAATATCTAAAAAAAACATTTAGATATGTTAAAAAAAACGGAAAAAAAAAAAACAAAATCAGATCTAAATCCATATATTAGGGGTGTAAATCTGGCATAGCCTGGCCCACCCGGGCTCGGACCAGACCAAACCAGCCCACAGGCCAAAAAATTAAGCCCAGGCCCAGGCTCAAGCCTAGGGGTATTCGGGCCATGGGTGGGCTGGCCCAATGGGCTTGGGCTTGGCTTCGGGCTTGGCGGGCCTAATCATTTTTTTTTTGTTTTTTTTTGTTTTTTTTTTACCAACATTTTATTATTTTTCATTAAAAAATACAATGGGCCTTATACAGGCCGGGCTGGCCGGGCATTGGGTCGAGCCCTAAATAGGCCTTAAGCGGGCCGATAGGCCGAGCCGGGCTTCAAAACAATGGCCCTAGCTTAGGGGCTCGGGCTAGGCTGGGTGGGGGCGGTCTTCGAGCCGGGCCCACTTTGGGCTGCGGGCCATTTTTACACCCCTACCATATATATATATGGATCAAGATTGATTAAGATTTTTCAAAAAAAATCATAGATCTGTTCAAAAAAATCTTGGAACCATGGCAGAGTAGAAGTAGATCTCGGTCTCCATGGCAGAGTAGATCTTAATCAGGACGATGTTGGGATGCTCCACTATCTTTATCACCGAGATCTCACGAATTAGTCCTGTAGCTTGGCCAACGGCGAAACCAGCTGAAGATAGCGGTCTGTGCTGGCAGAGGAAGTGTTATCAACAATCGAAATAAGGGGGAGAGACAGAGAGAGAGAGAAGGTGCGGAAGAGAGATCTGTTTTTCCCCGATCGAAGCACCACATTTTGAGATCTTACAAAGATGAAGGGAATGAGAGAGAGAGAGAGAGAGACTCTGAGTGAGTGAGAGGAAGAGAAAGATGAGAGATGGTGAGGAAGAGAGAGAGAGAGAGAGAGAGAGAGGGTAGATACGAAATGTGAGAGAGAGAGAGAGAGAGATAGTACATCAGAAAGTAAATATATATCACTTCGGGGACAAATAAGGCCGGGGCCTGGACACTTATCACCGTCCCCGGCCCGAAATTGATCAGGGATTGATTTTTGAATACCACCCTGTCTCGTCAAAGGTATTTTTTGAGGGAAAAACGTTCAAATTGGGATCCGAGGATCGGGTCTCCGTCTAGTCGGTTTCAAATTGTCATCCCTAAGTGAAGTAGCTTCTATATGTGTCAGATTCTTACAAATAGTTCAACAATTCCTATTGTTCATAGTATTCATGTATGTTGTTCAATTGCTCTCAGGTTGTCCTGACATAGAAGAGAAGAGCAAGAAAAGTACCTTTGAAGTGGAGTTGACTGGAATGAAGGTCATAAGGACCAGGCTGCAAGAGTGCACCAGTCTAAGTGTTATACCACATAAAGAATGTCCGTTGTATTTTCTTTATTCTATTAGCTATGTTGTAATATATCCTGTCGGTATGCAGTTGATGAAACTTGTATCTGTTGAACCACTCCATGGGCTATGTATATTGATTTTGCTAGCCTCCACCTATTCCTACGGGTTGTGTAAGGGATCTAAGTCTACTGGTTGTAGTGTAGTGTTGCTCCCGTTTCACTATAGTTTCACTGTTGCTGCCTCTTCAAAATGGAATTGGTAGAATTAGATTTTGCTTGGAATTACAGTAAATGGAAAACCTGCTATTTTGCTGTATTATTGGTCACTGTTGTGTTGTTGTGTTGCCGCTGTCTGGCATCACAGAGGGTGGATGTGTGAAAACCCTAATGCAGTGTTTGGTTAAGGGATTTGAGGAGGGATTTAGACAGGAAAATAGAAAAGGTAGGCGAAATGTGAATAAAACATACTTACATTTTACTTAGTTTCACACACATTTTCTCTTTTTCTTTCCAAATTCCTCTCTAAATTCCCCAACCAAACACAGCGTAAGAGAAGAAATGAGTCATCTAGGGCTTGAGAATTGGAATATGGAAGGGGGATTGGATCTGGGACACTCTGATAGTAGAGAGAGAGAGAGAGAGGGGGGTAATAATAAGTAAGAAAAATGTTACAAATTTCAAATAATTTACTAGATTTTCTATCACAACTCTCACATAGATTTAATAAAATATTAGGAATTGCTAGCATAACTGTAAAAAAAATGTCTGTACATCTTCTCATGGTGTATTTATATATCCTGACCGCTAGGTATTACTCTTTAAATAATGTTATATGTATCAATTAATATACACATTAGTGTACTAACAGATGATGTGGCATCGTTTGTATGGTTTTAAGTATTTGTAACTTGTATAATAAATGTGGTTAATAATAATATCATAACACTAGTTGGTACACTAGTGTGTACACTAATTGGTGCAACCATTATTCTTTTATTGAAGTGTTGTTGATGAGAGAGAGAAGCCCAATGCAAGGCGACATTCTTGTTTCTAATAAATCCACCACAACGCGCAACCACATCAGCTTCTTAGGGTTTGTTTGGCATTCAACTAAAAGAGTTATATATATATATATACATACTAGTTTTAAAAAGTCCGTACAAACCACGGACTATTATTACAGTATATTTAAATTTTATATTTTGATATTTTTTTTAAATTAAAATATTATTTTATGAAATTAAATAGAATAAATCATTAGATATATTTTATGTGGTATGATAGGTATTATTTTTTTAAATTTGTTATACACCTAATAATGTAGATTCTAATTCTATTACCATATTATTTTAGGTGAATTTATGAGTCTTTTATAAAAAAAATAAGATAAAAATTATGGTATAATTGCAGACTGAAATAAATAAATAAATTTGAAGGAAGAGAAAACTCATGACAACCAAAAGTTTTAAAGGCAAATTCTTAACGCTAGGCTTTTACCCCCATGAGGCAAGGCATAAGCCTCGTGGCATCAAGGCATAAGATTTAGTTTGGTTAGTTGGTAGTTATTGGCATCACATTTTATTTTTCTATTGATTGAGCCTAAACTAGATTTTTATCAACATAAATTGACATGCTTGGTGGGACCATTCTAATTTGGAGTGACGATGGTGAAGAAACAGACTTATCCTTATAGAATCATACCTTCAACAAGTAAATTTACATCATGTGAACCCATGGATGCAAACTGCCAATGGAGTGGCAGTGTTCCTATGGATACAGATTATCAGTGGAATACCATATATTTTGAACATTGTCAGTGTTATGGTGGTGGTTTTACTACTTATTGCCAACATAATGACATGACAGATGATGTGAAAAGAATGATTTGACATTGTGATGATAAAATTTATTGGTGGGGGAGTGAAATCTTGGCCCTAAAATAAGAAATTAATTCTCTTTATAGGCAAAGATTTGAAATAATTTTGTCATCTCCGTATTATTTTACACAAAGAGATTTAAATTACTATAATGAAAAGATTCATCAACTTGAAGGCCAAATTTTTCTAATTGATGAAGAAATTCTATATTAGAAGCAAAAATTAGAAAACATAATGGCCAATGAAAAATTAAGATATGAAAATAATGTGACTCATAAGATTAATACACATAGTTTGAAGAGCCAATCATTCATGAAGAGTTAAGGTAGATGGCTCAAAGGGTTAGCACACCAAGTCATGAAGATAATATGACTTTGAAAAATTTTCATAGGTCATTAATGGCTAAAATTAAAAAACAACCCATTTTTTCAAAAAATATTTAGAATTTTAATGATAAAAGTTTATTTGGGGGGACATGATATTTTGCCAAACGAGGCAAAAAGTGACAAGTTATTAATGGCTAAAACACAAGAACAATTCCTTCACTCAAAAAATGTTAAAAATTTGTCACAAAATAATGGTGAAGATTCACTTGGGGGCATAATTTTAAGTTAAATATGGCTGAAAATTATGAATGGCGGGGGCATAATTTTAAACCAAACATTGCTGAAATTATGAACAACCCACATTTGTTGAATTTGAAATTTTTTCACATTGTCAAATTTGTTAAAAGTTTTAATTTTCTAAAACCATTTGATATTATGGTTTCTGCTACCCAACAACCACCATGGGTTTGTGGTTCACATCAAAAGTTAATTTTGATGAACTGATTAACAAAAACATCTTATACTTGTAAGTTTGGGGGGAAAAAAATGGCCATATAATAGCCAATACTTGGCCAAACCAATAATGGCCAACGGCCAAATGGTTATACTTTGCATGAAGGCCAATTTAATGGCTAATTGTTTAGTGTCGACACATGCCAATTTAATAGCCGATGGCCAATTAGTTATACTTTGCATCGACAAAATGCCAGTTAATTATTTTTGTTTCAAAATTAATTGAAATAGGGCCAAATGTTAGAAGTGTAAGCATATGCCTTGCTTTAGTAAATACAAAAAGGTTCAAACTACACCATTTATGGGAAGTGTAAAACCTTAGAAAATACAAGTGATGTAAATCAGGCGGCCGTTGTTTGCACCATAAAATATT